GACTGACGACTGCCGACAGCCAGCAGTTGCTTAGCTCTGCCTGGTTTGGCCATTTGGGTTTGTTAGCCAGCTGGATGCCAATGCCAATGCCGATGTGGATGTGGATGTGGATGTGTGTATGGCACAGCATATTGATGGACCGCAGCAAATTGGCTCCACGGTGCTCATGACCGTGGAACGAACGTGACAAAGACACTGCGATATATTCTACAATGGAATCTATATCTATTATTTATGTAGAAGGACTCCGATTGAGAATATTAAGTTAAGTTAACAACAATAAGTTAATAATTTGTAACATAAACATTCGATACACAAGTTCTTTCAATTTGAAAACCTCTCATATTTATTCCCCCAACTTATCAATCGTTCAAAGAAAAGCATTTGTCAATTTCTGAAGTTTTTATACAAATATTGCATAAATATTTTTCCAGCAACAACTTTCGAGACATTTCAAGTATATTGAGCAACGTTTCATCATTTGAGATCCACTGTGCAACGTTGTTTATAGCTCGCTCAACTTTTTCTATCCGTTATACTCGACAACGAATTGTAAAAAAAACAGCATACAAGAAAATGAGAGAAAATAAAACAAATAAAAAACAGCAGCCAGCCAGCACCCAGCCAGTCCGCATACACCAAGAATCATGCTGGATGTCCTGGCTACATCTGTATCTGCCCCAACTGTAGTAGTTGTGGTTGAAGTTGTAGTAGTAGCAGTAGTTGCAGCTTGGCAATCTGCCATCATATGACATAAATCCCCCAATGATAAAACACACGATTGCTCCCCAAAGTTCGTGCCGTTCTCTAAGCCAAGCAATTTTCAGTTGCGTCAGGACGAGCGCCAGGAGATCATCTGGTTCTGGGCAGGGCTGGGCAGGGCGGTGCGCGCTAGTATCTGCAGAAGTATCCTCTTCAAGTCCCCCAACTAGAAATATTCATTATGCACATTAAAAAAAGAGAAATATGACGCTGCCCTGACGAGCCACGAAGTTTCGGCCATAAGAAACATCAATCTGGCTTCTTCCGCAAATGCCAATTCCTATGCCAACTGAATGCACATCACCTCAGGATTCGCCGTCAGTTCCTATTCGAATGCGGGTTCAATGCACGCAGCGCCCTTTGACTTTCGTCCTTCCCAGCTCCCCTTCGAGGGCTGCCCTTCTGCAGTTGCTGTAACTTAATTGGCCCCTTAACACGGACCGTCATTCGTTTTTAACTGTCAACTCTAAAGTTGTGTCTTGATCTGGATAAGCATAATCCATGAATTGTGCGGGACTGTGCTTTTAGTTCTATCTGTTGTCAGGCAATATATTGTAGTGGATGTAACAAATTGTTTCAATTTACATTTTTGCTCATCCAAAAATACATTTTCTTGTTTGTTTTTATTTTTTGGGGTGCATTAAAAAATGTTGCTTGTTGGAGCATTGCTAGAGTGTACCCCACGCTCAGTCGCACACAGACTCACCCATACACCCACACATACGCACACCCAAAAGCAAATGCAAACAAAGTTTTATTTTGTTGTTATGCGGCCGCAGCATTCTCGACCTAGAATACAAATTAAATTCCACAACATCATCAAAAGAATATGGTACAATAACAAGAATTCATCACTGACCGAATGTCTGCCTGTCTGGCTGTCCATCTGTCCGTCTCTCTCTGTCTGTCTGCCACTGATTTGCCCAAATTGTGCTCTGCTCTAATATGAGCCGTTATTTTCTATTGAAATGGGGGTGGGTTTGTGCACACGGCTAGGCCGGCCGCCTATGCCATATCAATGGCCGCCGCGAGCGAGAGTTGTGCTCTCTCGCTCGCACCCACGGCGAGAGCGAAAAGGATGCACAGAGTGCTACATATACGCAGAGGCCGCAGCGCAGGACAGTGGTTGTAATCTCTTCAATTGCAGTCAGTTGAGGTAGCTGCTCGCGATCCATGGCTGCCGCAGAGACATTCGCAGTTCTGGCCACTGTGCATGGTGCAGTGCTCTATTGGCCTACTGTTGTTGTGATTGTTGTAATTTCGGAGGATTCTAAATGAAATGGGTGGGAGCTTTAAGGCGAACAGCTGGAAATTCTTTATTCGACCCTTGTCTGGGGCCAATTAATATTTCATTTTTACGACTGCGCTTCTAAAAATCCACAGCTCGGCCATTCGAACTTCGAAGCAGAGCAAACAAGCCGAGAGCGGCGAAAGGGTCGAGAACAGGCGCGAATGGCGAATACCTTCTGCTGCTTAATAAGCCAGAGCTCATTCGAGTTTGGAGTTAAGGTGCGCCCTGCAAGCCCCGGATGAAATTTGTTGGCCTTCTAATCTAATTAGGCATCCAATCGGCCTCCAGAGGCTTCTTCAGCTTCAACTACTCATGCAAATTTAGCTGCGAAATTAGTAAAATTTAATTAATTTCAAGCAGCCATTCGCAATCTGAGATGTTGATTAAAAACTTTGACTTGCTCATGAGCAGAGAAAGAGATACGCAAAGCAGTTAGTGAAATTTAAAAACTGAATGTTCTCAAGCCGAATTTCCATTTAACATTTGCATACATAGCAACAATTTAATTCTTTAATTAGTATAGAAATAGTTGACTAAAATGCAATTCAATAAAGTGCCTGATAGCTGAGAAACGTACGGCTATTAGAAGCATATGTATATATATATATATGTACATATATATATAAACTGTGCTCACACTTAGAGCTACATATATGCACTGCAGACGTAATTTCATTATTTATTCAAAAGATCATCGACATGACAAGCCAAAGCACAACTCCTCCTGCACATGAGAGCTCTGCCAAGTCGTTTCGCCAGCTACCAGAGATACAGAAACATGTGTTCATATATATATAAATATATATATATTTAAATATATTCCTAAAAATATGTACGTATTCTTTGTTGTTGATCCGAATTTCATCAGCATTTTGTGCTCATCATATAAACAAGACGAATTAGGAAACTTGTAAACAAAAATAGATTTGATTAAATTGAGGTGCCTTTGAACTGGATTTGCAAATATTGGTAAAAATAATTGAATCATAGGATTCCACGATCTGAGGCAACAGGAATCACAATAAATTCAGAAAAAAAAAAAGAAAAGCAATTTGCATAAAAGCGAAAAGTTTAGACACAATGTAAGTCATTTCGATACAAAGGTGGGAATCTTGAATGCATAATTGCTTTAGGCTGTAATTAATGTAAAGTTGAGCAATAGCAGAAAGCAGTTTCATTTGTTGGTTGAACAGTCAAAGAGCTGTGATAGTAAGATATATAATTTAAGTATTATCCGCAAAGAAATACGATGGCAGAGTGTTTTAATTAAAGGCAAAAGCACTGGCAAATTGCGACCACAAATTAAGCAACCAATTGAAGCGGGTGTGGAAAGAGCTTAATGAAAGAACGAGCGGAAAGAGCTCGCAAGTTCAAACCGCACGCAAGCCCAGGCAAGCAAATAAACGAGGTATTTATTTATGTGGTTTCTAAAGACGTCAACCACATACCTGCCAGAGCAAGAGCAAACTGACTGCCTGCCCCTCCACCCGCCTGCCCGCTAGCACGCCTGCACGCCTTCCTGCCTGCCTGTCTGCCCCGCAAGACTCGGCGTAGTTGAGAGCAGCTTACATAATTGACTGTCGGGATAATTTACTTCCGTGCACTTGCGTGTTTATTAAATTTCTGGGGTTGTCTACGGGCATCGATTCAGAAAACGAATACCCAGCCTTCCAGTGGATGGGGGCTGGGGTACGATGGAGCGACAATAGCATTGGCAATACGATAAACGGATCATGCGTTGATATTTCGTAACCACGTCTAGTTACACATATTGCTCATTAGTTGCCCCAGTTTGAGCTTGTCACTGACTTAATGAAATGGAAAGGTACAATGGCACAAAATGACAAAATGGCGATGTCTTACCTACTTTACATAGATACACATGTGTTTCATTGTGACTGAAATATATGATTAGAATATACTTACATACCATATACTATATCTTTATTTGATGTACTTATATATATACATAATTGTGACTGAGGTATGTATTTAGAATATACGTAGTATATGTATGTACAATATACACATACATATTCATTATATATTGTATATGTATCTGTATGTAGACTCTAAATATTTTACTAGAATATATATATATATATATATATATTTATATATCATTATTCAGGATCCCCACACCATTTAGTTCGATTTAAAAAATAAAAGAAATTGAATGAGAATAGATTCCTGTTGGGTTCATTTGTTCGCTTTGTGCTGAGTGGAGGCCATTGTTCGGCTTAAATTGCTCCAATTCGTACCTGGCGAACGAAGCAGGAGCCTGGCGAGGCGCTTTCGAGTCAAAGGCGCTGCAAGTCACGTCTGCAGCCAACCCATTTACTTAGCTAAACGATGGGGGTTGTACCTGCCGCCATCGTTCTGCCCACTACTCCCCGCGCCGTCCCGCCCCATCCTAATGGCATCGGCAGGACACCAGCTTGCGCAAGGCTCGCTGAGCAACCACCCCGAACTAGAGTTTCGCACAAGTTGAGACGTGGCCGCTGCTTGACGGGAGGAGATTCGCAGTGGATAGGTGTACCCAATTGATGAAAATCTTTCAGCCGGGCTACATATGAAAACACGTTTCTGGGCTTATCGCCGGGATATGGAAATTTCGCCATTTATTTGATCAACTTTTGCCTTTTTTCATATCGAGACGGCATTTGCCCAAAAATAAATGGCAAAAGGTACAACAGCTTTGGCCCAACTATTTCATATGCCGCACACACGCATTGCCACCGCTTCGAGGATTGTAATTTAGCAAAAATCATGTTGGCAAATAAAAATGGGAAACATCTTAAGCAAGTTGTGCGCCTTAAGGGATGTAGTCCGCCCGCCTCTGCTCTCGTATCTCGTGCTAGTTGCACCTGTGCCACAGTTTAAATCGAAAGTTCGTTTGCTGCCATTTATGACTACCTCCATTTCAGATATCTACTATATACATATATTCGCATGTGGCATAGACTCACCCGTAGCAGCTGTCGTCGCACATGTTCGCTCCTCAGGGGGGCCGCGCACGAATATCCAACTGAAATTCCATGGAGTTATAGTTAATTAAAATATTTATGCAAGCTTATTGGACTTTTTTTTTTTTTAGTTTTATATTATTTCAATCGAAATGTCCGTCAATAAATTCCTAGAATAATATTATATTCATATAATCCGATAAAGAATCCTTAATTTAGAGAGTACAAGTTGATTAGTTTTTCTGTTGTTTACAGTTTAAAATTTTAGTAATTTTGGGCAACTATTTTTGTGGTAGAGAATGGAAATTTGCAGATTCAAAATGAAATATTGAGATAATGCTAGCAATTTCTACTGATACAGACAAGAGTCTTGCAGATATACTCCGACATAAGTGAAAGAGACATTAAAGAATACATAATAGTTTATATCACACAATTCCGAAGATTAAAAGTTCCCCAATAAGGGAGATAAATACGGAATTCGGAAAATTGTGTTCAAGGTCAATGAGACGAAAAGTCCAAAAATAACAATAAAAGGAAATAATATTGACAAAATTAAATGTTCCGATTAAAGTCATTAAATACAATTGAATCTGGTAAGTATCTTCTATCTATTATATTATTTATATATATTTTATTTATTTATATATTTTTTATATTTTATTTTGTACGCATCTAAAGTGACGGACTTGAGCTTAAATTTCAGCTGCATGTGAATACATAATACACAACATTGCGGGACACAGAAATTTACGAGAACGGATCTTTCACATCATTACCTTACGCATGAGCATCTCATTGAATTGTGAGTGTGAAATATATTTTCATAACAGGCTGTTACACAAGGGACTCAAATTGTTGTTTCCATGTGTATATAGGAGAAGAGGAATAGTTATTCCTGCCATTCGCATTCGCTGACAGAAATGCTGTACACACTCACTATGGAACTGAGACTCTCCCTAAAGAAAAAGTGGGAGATGGAATGCGAATGGAATAAGAAACTTTGAGCTATGCATCAGTATATAGAGATCATTTGAAATAGGAGGAACGATGAACACCTACCTACAACATACAACAAAAGACATACATAGAATAGAATGTGTAAATGGATAACTTCGTATTCGTATATACCCTCTGCAAGGGTATGCATAGCCTCAGAATCATCATTGAATTTAAATGTTTGTATATTTGACGCACATGGGCGGACCCAAGCAGATTTATGCAACAACACGCTCCTCATTATTATTTCACGCTTATCATTTTATTTCAATGTTTCGGAAGCAGGCGCCGTCTTGTGTGCGAAAGCAAGCAAAAAATACATGGAATGCAATAAATTTATAGTTGGTTCTGTGGATGGGTTAGAGGCCGGAGAGATACAAGGAAAAGTTTTTACTTGGATGTGGAGCAACATGAACAGCATCCGGGCTGGGCAGCGCAGGGCAGGGCAGAGTGCGTCCTCGCTGATGCATTCATATCCCATTGGGCCCAGTTTTGCGCACATGTACTCATGTCCCTGTACTCGCCCTGATGTGCGCTCCATTACTCCACGGTTATTTGATTACGTCTCCGCGACGCAGCGCGCTGCGATGGCCACACTTATCACACCCCCGCCAAACGAAACTCTCAACATGCTTGCGTTACTTTTATAGGACTTGTGGTGTACCCTCCTCTCCGACTCTCGGCCTCTCTCTCTCGCTCCCTCCAGCTCTCCAGCCGTTCACCCGTTCCCGACTTACTCTGCCATCTCAGTAGCCCTTGCCGTCGCCCCTGTCGAGTGGCCGCTTGTTTGTCTATTTGCTTGTTTACCACTCGCTGACATAGCCAGCCCACCCGTAAATTCGGTGTTCGCCCATTGACCAGCCCGGGCTTGCCACAGCATTCGTCTATATGCCACCCACTCCACTTCAGTGGCGTTCAACGACGTCATCATTTTTTTTTTTTTTTTCACGGACGCGCCTGCATATTTTAGACAGGCTTTTCAGTTGTGTTGTGTTGTTGGCACTAGTCTGCTTATTAGTCAACTACAGAGTATCCCCAATGGAATTTGCTCGTGTGCATAAATTCTCGCCAAGTCCATCTACAAGCAGCACTTATCCCATATTACTCCAGCAATTGCAAAAATGAGTCGAATGGCGAAGGCCAAAGTCCGTGCAGATCTCCTTCTACTGCTCCTGCCTCATCTCTCTATATTCATTGCTTTGCTTCACGTCTCTATCTGGCTTCCAAATTGGTTACATTTTCATAATGAGACGGAGCCATTTTCGTATCGAACTCGAGACCGATGGGAACATCATAAAAGCTCTTCAAACGGCATCGCCCCAAGCCGCCAAACTTTTTCTCATTAATATTTTCCGTTTTCAGAAGATTAGCAGCCAAAGAAAAAGTTTCCGAATCGCTGCCTTCCTCGGCGTTGATTTGTTGAATTCACTCTTGTTCAGACATATTTATGAACGTTGCTATCGAAATGGGGGTCACGACTGCGGATAGTATTTGGAATTCCGACGAGTGATGGGCCGAAGAAGTATTGGGAGATGCCAATAAGCTACGAGATTCAATTACTGCGCCGTTCTTTCTCTTCCCACGATAATTAATCTTATACATGTATATATATTCTTACAGCTGATCTGGCCAGGATCAGAGAGAAAAGTATCGATACGTACAAATGCTACTCATTATTCTTCGCCTCTACCTAAGGTAGTTTTTTTCGGCACCCGCTGTGGAAGTAGAACTTCGCTGTCGTGCTCAGCTGGGAAAGGGTTCTGTGTGTCTGCGACGCTCCAAATACAATTACCCAAAAGAGGAAAACCGAGAATTTTTCTACAAAAAATGAAGCATGTCTAATGTTCCAGGAACCACGACACCAACACCGACACCGACATTGACATCGGCGTCGGCGTCGTCGTCGGCTTCGCTGCCTCTTTTATTCTCCTGATAGAAAAGTGAAAGTCTCAACCGCGCGATGCCGCTGTTTATGACAACCATAAAAACTGCAATTTTCTAGCTGCAGTTTTCCCGTTTTCTGTTGCTCGTCTCAATTGGTTTTCAGTGAACGAACGGGTTCAAACTGTGACCTGCGTTCCGCCTGCTTCTGCTGCTGTCTGTCCGCTGCTCTAACTGCGGCTCCGAATATGGACCATGCACCCATGGGCCACATGCTGTCGGACAGCGCAAATATTTGCCATCGACAGCTGCTGCTGTCTCCCAGTGTTTCAGCGAGACGCTTTGTTATGACAATTGACTGCAGTCTATCTGCGAAATGAGTTTTATTGCCCAATCGCCTAAGAGCTCTTGAGCCATGCATCTTATTTAGTTATTTCGCTCCGTGACTAGCTAGAAGTCTTACATTGCGCCGCCCTCGGCTGGATCAACGAACCCAAGAAGACGATGCTGATGCTGATGGCGTTGCCGATGCCGATGCCATTGCAGGAAATATCCAATATTTTCACAATAAGATCGCTAAATATTAAAAACGCAAAATGAGAATACTTAATACCAAACGGCTCACTGCTGGACGCTGATGGCCCCTGCAATACTTAAATGCATAAATTGCAACTTTTGCAAATCCGATTAAATGGCCGGCCGAGAAGAAACGGGTTTTCTGTTTGAAATTAAAATATGTATTCAACTCGTATAGCCACACCCGTCGCCTGCACACAGATCCGCACATCCGCATATATACTGAGGCCTGTAACTTAAGACCCTTAAGTATATATTTTATTGGAAGTGTGTGGCCGTAAGAAGCATCTCTGAGTAATGACTTTATTTTATGTATAGGATGTGTATGTAGTCGAATCGATAGTCATGGCATGCATAAACCATATATTTATTCTCTTCTTGTTGGGTAAGTATATAAATATAAATTATGTATTTATTAAGCAAATAATAATGTACCCTCCCCTCGGTAGATCTATGTATGCTTCAAGCCTACAACATAACTTTTGTTCATTGTTTTATTCAAAATTCATCAAAGCACCTTATTGAAAATGCTCTGTATTAGTGTGGTATTAGCGTGGTAAATGAAGTCAGAAGTATAATAAACAAATAATAATTAAATTAAATAATTGATAAACGTGATTATTTCCATACCTTAGGCAGTATATCTATAATATAATATCATCATATATACAAGTTTAAATCTATTCCGTAACATATTCTTTTTATTTCCTCAACAATGTTTAATTGACAGTGCAACTAGGCAGAAAAGCGAATAGGATGTAGAAATAAAGAATAAATTTAATTAAAACTATGAAAATCAATCAAGTTGAGCAGAAATTCGTTTATAGTTTCATATTTATTGAGTAGGACTGCAATCGTTTCGCAAAAGGGTTCGTTTCGTCACACAGCGTTATTCAACTTGCATTGCGCATGGTCGAGCTTTAAAAGATTGTGCTACACACATACACACACACAAACACGCATTTTGGTGGTTGTGTGTGTAACTGTTAAGGTTAAAGTGTAGTTGAACGAAATGTCCACCATATTGTAGCGAAATACTGATGAATCTGCATGGAAAATGAACGAAACTCGCACTGTGTGCATGTGCATATATATGTGTGTGCTCATGTGCATGTGTATGTGCATGTACGTGCTGACACGTTGGCTACCGATACATGAATAAATCCATATGCTGCCCCGTTATGGCATTATGGCAGGCTGCCGCCGTTCGCATGCACATATACATAGGCTAGCGGGCGAGGGAGCGAGACGACGATAGTAATGGCCGATGCAGCGCTGTTGCTGCCTCACTTGCTTTAATGCACTGCTCACTCCACTTCGGATAAGCAGCAGCAACGGCAGCAGCAGCAGCAGCAGCAGTTGCTTAGCACTTGGGCCATTAGGATGCTCGTTAATTTTGTGGTTATTTGATAGAGCGGCTGGATCCAGCTCGGATCAGTGGCTTTAAATTTTAATAATTTTTAGAAATCAATGGGTCACATATAATTATTTTTAATAATGCACTGAGGTAGATCAAGTTAAGCTATTGCTTCAAAAACAAATGTTATTGCATTTTTCGTCACTCGCTTACAAAAATTCGGATTGATTGATTGATATGAATGATATTTTAGAATAGTAAAGGGATATATGTATGGAAAACAAAGACTGATTCTGATCAGGTACATTAAATAAATACGAAGCAGTCATCTTTAACTTGAGATTGTATTTAGTGAGTCTGTGCTCCTTAGCAGATTTTCTATTCGTTTCCCTCCTCTGCCCTTTTCGATTCGGCGCGTGCTTTGTTTACAGTACATTTCGGAAATGTGGTCCCGGCCCAAACTTAGAATCAACTGCGTGGGAGTTCTGTCAGGGGAGGGGGGTCGGATGGGGTAAGACTGGTAACTGGTAGATGTGAAGTTGAGGTCGAAGCGAATGGGCCTGGCTAGGAGTCTTTCGGTATTCAGCATTATTATTTATTTTTTGCTCTGTCCCAAGTGAATTCCTTGGAACGTGATTTTCGGCGTTGTTGCTTTTGTTGTCGCTGCACGCAAAAATTATGATGCGAAACGAAAATGCGAGCAAGTCAAGTACGAGCTAAGAATGACTGAGAAGTTCAAGTGTATATAAATACATATATATATATATAGTATATATAGTGAATTGCAAGGTGTAGAGGCATACATACGTACATAACCGAGTGTACGTGTCTCATACTTGAACAATAGGATTGATATAGCTGGGAAGGGGGCGGGCAGGGCTCGGCCAAAATGGAAACAACAACAGAAATTGGCAACCGAAACAACGGACAACAATATCAACAACAATGGAGCATGCCCATGATGATAATGGAATGGTAATGATAGTTTTGCTTTCGTTGCTCTTGTTGTTGCTTCCGCTGGCAATGAACGAAATGGAAACCCAGCGAAAGACGAAAATAAAATCGAAATAGAAATGGAAAAATAACAAGAGCAGCAGCAGCAGCAGCAGAAGCAGCAGCAGTTGAGCATAGTACACCGACTCTGGGCCTACCCTGCAGAAGAGAAGGTTTCCTTTGCGCTGCCAGAACCTTCAGTTGGGGAATAATTATTGGCCAGCATTTGATTAATTCTTGTGCACCGTTATTATTATCATTTTGGCTAGATAAATATTTCTATACCAATCAACTACATAACTATAACTATCAATATATTTATTTACAGGGTATACAAACTGGACCAGCAGACGAAATGGAAGCTAGCGTAAATCGCTTTTCGACATTTCACAAATACACACACACATATATACACATGGCACACACACTCAGACACAATCCCAATTCACTTAACAAACATACATATCTGTGTGTGTGTTTTGTGTGTGTATCTGCTGCGGGTCGCATCAAATATATTTTAAGTTTTCCTCTTCTTGTTGGCTCCTTCTGCCTTTTGCTTTTTCTCTTTTCATTCTTCAAAATGTTTAATTTTATCATAGCAAACAAGTAAAAGGAGAACCAAAGAAAAAATATACAAAAAAATAAAAAAAACAGAGGAAAAATCATCAGAGAAATTCAAAAGCTTTTAAGTAAATGAAATATTTTTGGCATTTGTTCTTTTCGGTTGAAAAATACAAGAATAGATTCGAGGAAAATGCAGCAGAATGCAGAGCAAAATTGAATCTTAATTTTCTTCTGTAGGTTCCTATCAAACGCATCGAATTGAAGGCAATGAGCAATGAGTAAGTGAGTACGGCGGAATTCCGATTAGTGACAACGGCGACCGCACATACTAAATGGCTGCAGCTCATGTTGACAGCTCGAATGAAATATGGCTGCAGCGGAAATGCTAAATGGAAATCCATTCTCGATTACCATTTTGTCTGTGTGTGTGTGTGTATGTGAGTGTGTGTGGCACCGGATAATATCAATCAGCGGACATTCTTCATTTTTGTTTACTCACTTCACCTGACGCGACCTGCACGTCTTTTGGCGTGGCCAACGGCTGCGCCTCCAATCAGCTCGCTCCTTCAGCTCTGTTTATTTATATTCGACTCGGCTGCACAGTCCAAGTTGTAGTGAAGTCAGAGTTGCTCAAGAGCCCAGCACTCACTGCCACACACTCCAGACCCAAATACGTTCACAAACAAACATTTCATCCGACTTTGCCTCGGCAATTAGTGGAGCCCATGTCGCCAATCGATTGCGATTGCGATTGCGACTGCACTTCGAATCGAGCCCAAGTGCAGCCTGCAAATTGCAATTCGTCTCGTTTCCAGGCAGAAACTAACTTGCGTAGGCTGATTGATTCGCATTGCCTCGAGATAGCAAAGGCCCGATAGAGATAAGTTTACTCTGACAATGTTTTATTAAGATTTGTTTCGTATGCACTCATCGATTGTCCATCAAATATTTTGATAGCCCTTCAATCACTTTGCACCCACTGTGCTTTGACGGACATAACTCACAAGTCGTTCCAGCATTTGACATTGTGCTTCATAGCAATAAAATTATTCAAGAACGCAGCCATATTGAAGAGGGGCATATTTGCTTGCTTGCCCGCTCACCTGCACACACCTGCAACGCGGAGACCGCAGGCCGCGACGCCGCGTCTCTTTGCCATAAAAAATAAAAAATTACGAAATTGTCAGCAGTTTTATGGCTCGCCGCTGTTCTCCACATCGAGCAGAGGAACTGTGATTGAGATTTCTTGCGTGTCGTACATTAGGCAGCACCTGTTCGCAGGCCTGCTCCATGCATCTATCAAAAACCAAAAACAAAATGAAGCTACTGGAATTGGAAATGTAATTGGGAGTGGGTGTGGCAGTGGGAGTGAACTTGAATAATTTGAATGGGCTGTCAAAATGATCATAAAGCAATTAAATGCACCTCGCACTTGCGACTGCCTCTCATCCCTAGACAAGAGTTGAATCGACAACCTGAGTATTAATGTACATAAGTCCCGTTTCACTGCCCCATGCCCCAACCCCCACCCCCACCTCTTTGCTTGTACCAATCAAAATGCATTGCCATTGGGCAACCGCTCTCCGCTCTCCCCGCTCCTCTTCGGTTTTTGTCTTCTCCACTGACACTAATTGGCTGCTTTATAGCCCAGTTAAATCGTAAAACTGAAATTTTATGCATTGTCACTGAAACGATTATGACGTCCGTTCGCAACAGTCGGAGAACGAGGAACAGTTCGAAGCCCGCCCTGCTCAAGGGGGAAGTGGATCCATTGGGCTTACGGTAGCTTAACGCTGCTCAGATTTATGTCTTTGCCCACAATATTATTTGTGTTGCTTGTCAATTTACAATTTGATTTCGGCTTTAAGTTCTCTCGTTCTCTTTATTGATCGCATTTCGCACACACTTCAGATGTTTATCCTTGGCAGGTAAGCGAAATATGCTTCAATCTTATTTCTATACAGTTATGCTAATAGATATATTTCAATTTCTGAAAATACTTTGCAATTAAATTATTAATTATTCAGAGCATTGTATCTGGCTGAAATTGTTATTCGTTGACTCATTGATAGAAATAAATATATATATATATATAATAGACGCATCGACTTGGCTATTCAAATTGAATTTGGCGAGGCCGTGACGAAACGTTCATTTCGCTCGCCTTATCATGAATTATGAATGTTCCATTATGACGTTTCTGCTCTGCTCGCCCCCTATCGATTACATGGTATTGTGTGAAATCGATTATCGATATACAACAAGGTCAAGAGCAGAATGTTTCAGATAATTATAATTTTTGTTGCATGTTTTTTGATTTTCCAATTTACGATTGGGTATTAGTCGAGACTCAAACCATCAAGCAGATTGAATCTAGTTAGCATTTGCTGATGCGATGATGGAATGATGGAATGGAGAATGGACTTGTATTGTTCGCTGCTGATGAATTCTCCTTGCTGACGCTATCCTTACTGCAATTGCAGCAATCATTCTTATCAGAATTCACAGTGGCCAGCAGTCAGCAGTCAGAAGGGGCGGATGTGGAGTATTGTTATTAGGATACACAGCCAATCACCCACACAGCAGCGAGTTGCATTCCTAAATTGCATCGACAGCCAAGATTGTTGCCAAATGGGGAAGAGCGCATTATATTTTCCTGCGCAACAAAATCCCTCTAAAGGATGCGTTAGACGGAGAAGAAGACGGAGAAGGGGACGGAGGCGAAAAGTTGTGAAAGCGAACCGAACCGAAAAGAATGCAATGAATGCGGGCAAATCGTAAAAAAAGGAAATTGCATCTACCCAAAGCGCAGAAACTTGCGCAGGACTTTGAAATTCTCATAAATTCTAACAAGATTTCAAGCTGCGCCGCGCCATCCCATCGGAATAGGAGCTGCATTGGCTAACTATTCCACGCGGGGGTGGGTTTGTGCAGTGGCAGGCCAAACAACGGCGTCCAGTAGGCAAATAGCGCCAGCACTCTCAAAAGAGCGCGGAGCAAAGAGTGCCAGCACGGACCAAAACAATGCGACGTTCAAGAGAGCCACACAAGCTTGAACAGGTGCAGCACGTGAAGAGAACTCGTTTAAGAGAGCGACAGAGCAGATGAAGAGCGCAGCACTAATACTAATGCACGCAACCGGTCTTAAGAGCGGATTGCTACAAAGAGCGCACACGCACACAAGCGCATCTGAGAGAGAGCAAAGAGCGCGCACACTAACACAAGCGCACGGATAGCTGGGGCTGTATTGGTGAGCGAGCGCTAGCTCTGTTTCATATCAAGAATATTCAACAATTAAATTTGAAAAATCATACAAATTTATTATGCATTTGCTTTATACCAATCCATACGAAAAACTAAAAATTATTTAATTCTTGTTTGCGTATTCAAAAGGAATAAATCCAATTGGCTATAGTGAATCCTATTGGCATTTATCCAGCCAACCTTGCACTTAGCAAAGACAACATCAAAATGGTTCATGTATTCGATAGCAACCCCCTGAGCAGGACGCAATACAGATGTCTCCTTCGCTCTCATGTGCATGCCCATCACTCGGATCATTTCAACCCCAGCAAATGGCAGCGCAGCATTCGTGTGCGGCCAAACTGTTCCATTTCGTTCCTTTACTTACCTCGAAAACGTCGCTGCCGTCGTCTCTGTTTCCGTCTCCATTCCGTCCTATGTCAGACGAGGTCGCGGTCCGGGCACAACGCAGGCGCACTTGCTTAGCGCTAGCCGCGAGTGTCGCAGCTGCGGCAACGCGGCCTGGCAGAGCCTCAAAAGCGCCGCACAAGCAAAAACAACATTTTTCTGGTACCGATATTTCAGTCACGTTACAGAACTTCACAATAGCCGCCGCCGCAGGTGAGTGCCGGTGGCTCGCCAGCATGCCAGCATGGCCGCTCCATGGCGGTTCCCTCTCACATCCAAGATGGCTGCCACTGCCTCTGCCTCTGCCGTTGCCGTTGCCGTTGCTATGACAACGCGTTCTCTTCATTCCATTTGATTGCGTCGGCGCTTCATGGCCGTCTGCTCTCACATTCAAAGCAGGTTCTTGGCTCGTCGCCATTGGTTTTATCCGACGGCATTTTGTAGTCTTCAGCTGGAACATGAATTAATATGGAAAAATATCAGAACAAGTATAACAATTTAATACTTTATTCAAACAGAATAATGAAATTGGCAGTTGACAACATTTGAAAACAAACAAAAATAATTGAATTAATTTAATATCTTGTTCAAAACAGAACAATGCCTAATATGAAGAAGAAGCAAATTGATGAGTTCAGTGTCTCATGAATAATACACAAAACTCCAATTGATTTTAAGACTTTTTAAATATTATTAAAAAAATTTATTAAACTATATACATATATATAAACTAGCGTAAATATCATTGACTTGAAGACGTTTTAAATATTATTTAAAAAACATATCAAACCTCAATCTTTTTTAAATAAATCATTTATTTATTTCTTAATATTTTTGATCCTTACTTATTATATATTCATCAACATACATATTGACTTTGTTGTTTTCGAAATATTATTTACAAAATATATTAATTTTAATATTTATTTATTATAAGTGTTTCGTAAATTTAGTTATCTGTATGATCCCCACAACATAAACTATAAAAAAATATATATAAACCACATAAATATTGACTTTAAGCATTTTTAAATATTATTTTAAAATAATATTCATATTCAACTATTTACATTTAATTATTTTTTACTATTAGACACACAGCCAATAAATCTCACTTTCATTCACAAAGTGACTTATTTGGTTTGGTCTACACAAAGTTTTCCAAAATGTTTAATATCAAATGAATACTGAGATTTTATCATATTTCGTGTCCAATGCTGAAGTACCAATCTTTTAAAGAATATCTTCTGAAATAATCTTTGAAAGAATATCGAGCATATGAAATGTACTCCAGTGTCTTGTTGATGAAGATGCGCTTTGATTGGTGTTAGCAAACTAATGCAATAAAGACTTGGAGTCGGATTTCCATTTGCCGCGCGAATACAAAAGGCAGAGGCAGGTTCAATGCCTGAAACCTATTTAAGCAACGCCTTGTTGACATTTTCCAATAAAAATAAATAAAATAACGTTTGCTCTGGAAACACCTACTGAAGGGAGCTGCCTGAATAAATGCCGACGCTTTAGCTGGCTGCGAAGGCTGCGTTGCCTGTCGCCTGGGAGCATTAGAGACAAGTCTCGGTCGAGGGCGCGGGCAGGGGTAGGGCGGGTGCTTGTGTGTGTGCGTTACGCATTTTAATACAATTTAATGTCCCATCGAGCTCCATCATCACCGTCCGCTGCCGACTCGCAGGAGCAGCAACAATTGAACTAGATAACATCGCCGCTGCCCAAAAATTCACAAGATTTGCAGGAAGGCAAACAATGGCAATGCTTAGACCGAGGCTAGGGCTAAGGTTAAGCCTAAAGCTAAGGCTACGGCTAAAACTGAAACACTATTTCCGGCGTACGGGCAGTGCCGTATTTTTATTGGAAATCGTTTATCTCAGCTTCAAACGCCTGGCCCAGTGCGAAAACGTGCCCACAGCCAAGAAGCTCATGCACTGTGGAGAATTGCGGATATTTTTGTAGTAATCCTAGCCAGCTAAATAAAGTTGAATTAGATAGAGATAGTAGTAGTATAACTAAATATTTACGAAAAAAAAACCTGAACTATATACATAATATTTATTATATCTGTTTTCCATATTTGATTATCTTTAATGAACTAAAACTATATACAAACTGTTTACACAATCAATATATCAGTTTATATTTCCTTTCCTTTTTAACTTAAATAGTCAAATTATCAAGTTTCATTTATTATTATGAATTATGTGAATAGACAAATTTATAAAATAATCAAATTATCTTTATTTATTTATTACATTATAAACTCCAACTGTTAAATGTATATAAAATTTTTGAAAATGGCAACATATTCTATAAGTAATTTGTAATATATTATAAATAAAATGCATATATTGGAAATATATTTGTAGTACATATAATCTAAAAAAATACATTCTCCCATGTGCCTCAACCTGACTCATCCACTGTGTGAAGGCTCTGTTGGGCCCCAGCCCCAGCCTCGACCTCATCCGTAGCCTCAGTTGGCTGTGTTTGCTATTTAACTGACAAACGACGGAATTAGTTGTACGTTTCGTTGGCGTTTCAGTTGCCTGGGCATTAATCTGAGCCCAACCTCGCATATCAATGTGACAGGCGCCCCCGCCCCTCACGGGGCATTAGGAGGCGATGCCTGAGGCGATACGGCTTAGAGCTTTTTAGGGATTTTCTGCTTCATTGCTATGTATTATCGGTGGCCCGCATTGCTCGATGGTAGATGGTAGATGGTAGATGGGGTTAGCTCGTGTTGAATTGCACTAATTTAGTTGGGCTCAAATGCCGCTGCTCCAGCGCTGCGACGCCCTGTGCCATGTTTTATGATGATGAGTTCGAAGTTCAAGCATGTTCAGCATAAATATATGCGTAGATTATCTGAGCAGGGCCCGGGCGAGGACAATCCATTTAGAGCAGCGAGCAGCTCGGATTGCATTGTAAACTAGCGAATAGAAACGCATTTTTATTTTTTTGTTTTCGTAGACTTGTAGATGGCAACAGTAATTATGCTTCATATTTCTTCTCAAGGTTTCATAATCTTTTCTGGCTGTGCAGCCCCTAATAGAAAAAACACACAAAAAAAAAAAAAAAAAAAAAAAAAAGGGATAATGTCGATGTGTTTCACGGAAAAACGAGAGCAGTTTGATAAAAATGTAGTGCAGGCGAATGACCTTCGAGCGATTGTAGGATTCAAATTAAATATTTCATGCGCATATAACATAACTGGAGCGACCTCTAAATACTGAAAGGATTCATCGGCTCCGACAATAAAACTATAAAAGACCAGAACAAATGGTCTTTGTGCCGCTGCGGCTGCTTCTTTCTCTCTGCCTCTCCCTCTCCCTCTCCCTCTTCCTAGCACTCGCACTCGCCTTGTCTCTATCTGTCCCTCTCTCGCCCCCGAGGCCATTCCCGCTGCGTATTTAGTCCGCCGACTTTCAGACTTTCTGTTTCCAGTCGACACCAACAAAACCCATTAGCCGGCCGCATGTGTTCGTGCCTTTTTTATGCCATCGCCTCAGTTTCTGTCTTTGGCTCTACGCATTATCGCAGCAGTTGTTGTTGTTGTTGTTGTTTTGAAAGAGGTGACAGCCTATTTGCTTGTTTATCTTTTGAACGGTATCTGCAAATGTATCTATATTTGTGACTTGACATCGCTGAATTATGTATACATCGCCTTTGGCCGCTCTGGCTCTGGCTCTGGAATGGAGCGCCTCAAGACTGCCCCAAGACTCCCACTTAAGCCCTTCTAATGTAGCAAACAGAAATTCGTTAAGCTAGCCGTATCCATTGGCTCTGGCACAAGCAGCATTCTCGCCACGCCCATTACATGCTCCAAGGATGGTTAGAAATTTTATGCTCAGCTTGCCAGCGCCAACGCCAACGCCAACGCCCTGACCCCATCGCCATTCAGCTGAATAGCGATGACAACTTGCCATGCAACGTGGCCCCAGATCCGAGACAAAGGCGTGAATTCCTTTTCGGCTCCTTCTAAGTTTTCTTACTGTTGATTTTATACATGCACTACACTAAACGAAATTCTTCAAAATAATTTTGATTTCAATATTATTCCAGATATATTTTCATATGTAACGTATAAGAAAAACAAAATTATATCAACATCGATTGAGTAAGAAATAGTTTTAGATTTTAATATTTTTTCCACAAAAATCTCCCCGTTTTCGCTCAGTGCAATTGTAATTTGAGCCAAAAAGCAAAATGTGAAAACTGAAAAAAAGAAGAAAAATGTGCGAGGAAAAAATAAAAGCTTCTGCTGCTGCTGCTGCTCGTCAACATAAAACTTGCAAAATAAGTTTCGCATGTTTCAACAAACTCAGGTACGAGGATTTTTGGCACTGGGATACGTCGTGAGTGGGGAGGGAGGGAGCCGCTTGAATATGCAGCAAGTATTCGTCTTCTTCTGCTCTGCTCTCAGCTCTCTGTTTTATATGCTGAAATCGGGGCCCGCCCACCTGAACGACAGCCACGCCAGCCAGAACGAGGGACTGGCTGGCAGTCAGCATTGTAGCTCGTAAGCCGCGTGGAGGGTGAAGCACGAAATGTACCCCAATTTAATCAAGAATTCTATTCTGCAAATGACTGGCATGACTGACGAATGCGAGGCACGGCGGCGTGAAGCATGTAAAGGAAGGGGGCAGTAGAGCGCAGCACACAGACTGTACGCCAAGAATTTTTATTTCGCGTGTCAAAAAAATTGCATGCCAAAACTCAAAGGCTTGAAGGGCGGGAGTCTGAGAACTGAGAACTGCGAAGTTAGAGCTGAGAACTGAGAACTGAGAGCTGAAGGCAGCATTTTTGCAATAGCATTCTGGATACATCCCCAAATACAATTTGCTACTATGAACTTGGAGAGACTTGTGTGAGAATGAAGTTGTTCAATTATGGTCGAAATTCGCATGTCACAATAGACCGAAAAATATTTTATAAATTTTATATGGCATTTCAATTCATTAATATATTTTTTGTTGATAAAACTCGCATTTTCGCAGTATTACGAACATGGCAAAGAAAAGAAAAAGAAAAACATATTATTTTGCTTTTTCAGATTCTTCTGGCTGAAGCATTCTTCGGGTATAACGACGTCGGATTCCACTGTAGTTTCCAAAGGCCAACGAGCCAATGGGATCGTCTATTCCCTTTGGAATACGTATGATGTACGTATGAGTGCTCTGCCGGAGACTTTTATTTTCGAAACTCGTTTTTTCTCATTCTGAATTAGATCAGGAAGAAACACACATATATGTTATTACACAGTTTTGCTTTATTTATAAAAACAAAATACCCTGTTAAAGCTTTCCCATGTGTAGAGGGTATACAAATTCATTGTCTGCAAGCATTTTAGGCTTTGTCGGTGCTCAACTGGAGAGAAAAGTCGAATCTCGATTTTTCCCATTATAGAAACGCATAAATTGATATTCGACTATTTATGCA